GACATGGCAATTTTTAGTAATATTTAGTAATAATTACATGCTACAAAACACTGAAACCCAAATGAAGAAGATAAACATAAATTAATTAGTATACGGACTTAACAAATTTAACGTAGTCTTTTTAAAAATGTAAATGAAACATATTTTAGAAAAGTAAATTTTTTTCAAAAGGATGTAATTATGATTTGAGAAATACATCTCAGGAATACTTCTGCCATTATTTATACACTTGAACTTGAGCAGATAATTAGGTATTGCCAGTTACAGATCTTAAGAAAATATTCACCACTACTAGAGGTATAGAAATAAGGTATACGGATGCCTATGCTTTCTGACACTCTCTATATAATAAACTTTTTTGCTCATATACGACAAGTGATGTTCCTGATATTTGACAGGTTCCATTGTTAGCCAAGCACAGAGGATGTTCTTATTATGAGGAAATACCTACCCTTGTGAGTGCATACGCTCCTAGGATTAGATGTAGCATCAGAATGTATTCACCATTTCTTTGCATGCAACAAATGCGCAGGTCATCCATTAGGACACATCTGAGATAGGTAGTAGATAATCTTTGTCAGGAACCCTTCCCATTATGTTAGGAATCCTAAAACAAGTTGTCCTTTTTTATAAAGTAGAAAGAAACCTCTTTCAGTCCACAAATTGATTTTTTGGAGACGGGGATGCCAAATATAAAAGGTTTAGTACTTATTTATCAAGATTCCCCATTATGTCTGGTTTAGCCTCTGAAATAAATGTTTTGATAAAAGCAATAAAAATATTTCCAGCTCTCAGATTAATAACAAAAATCTGAGAAAGTGATACTCCAAACATCACATACTCAAAATGAATAACCGTAACTAGGCTGATGTTTAATTCTACCAAATACAATTTGTTTATAAAATTTGCTCTATGCTATTACTAGGTTAATTAGGTAAAATGGGCAGCAGTTTCTTAAACTACTCTTGGGACAATTTGAGAGTACTTATTTATCAAGAGTGCATTTGTTTATCTGTACTCTCCCAACATGGCATCAGTATTTAGAATTCTGTATTGTGGGTTTTTCCCACGAATTTTTCCCCAAATTTAGCCCAGTCTTTTGTACTACATTTATAAAAAAGAACATATATATGATAAAGGAAATTTGTGTTAGAATAATAAAGCATTGTAAGAAACTGAAAAGCATTATGTATAATATAGTTGCCTTTATTCATCCAAAGAACAAGAATAATTATCCTAAACATTGACATGTTGCAATTAAAATATTTAGTTCATCAGTGTGCCCTAAATAGGCTACTTGCCATACTCTATTATTTATTTATTTATTTTTTTGAGACAGGGTCTCGCTTTGTTGCCCGGGCTAGAGTGAATGCCGTGGCGTCAGCCTAACTCACAGCAACCTCGAACTCCTGAGCTCAAACAATCCGCCCGCCTCGGCCTCCCAGAGTGCTAGGATTACAGGTGTGAGCCACCACACCTGGTCCATACTCTATTATTTTACTACATAATTACTCAGCTTGCAAGCATCTAGCCCTTACAAAACAATGAATACTCTCAGGAGTTTGAGACCAGCCTGAGCAAGAGCGAGACCCCGTCTCTACTAAAAAAAATAGAAAGAAATTAGCTGGACAACTAAAATATAGAAAAAATTAGTTGGGCATGGTGGCGCATGCCTGTAGTCCCAGCTACTCGGGAGGCTGAGGCAGGAGGATTGCTTGAGCCCAGGAGTTTGAGGTTGCTGTGAGCTAGGCTGACGCCACAACACTCTAGCCTGGGCGACAGAATGAGACTCTGTCTCAAAAAAAAAGAAAAAAAAAATGACTACTGTCACCTCTGCCCTGAGGCCTTGGGAGCAGTAATTGTAAAAAGTGGATTCTTAGAGAATCTGAAAGTTGGGAATAGCAAAAAAAAAAAAAAAAAATTAAGAACATAGGAATTGATTACTCATTCAACAAATAGTTATTGAGCACCTACTGTATTCCAAGACCCATTCTTGACATATAGGTAAAGAATAACAGACAAAAATAACTGCCCTTGAGGCCTTTCTATGAGAAGGGAAGATTCTACAGCACTACTATCCTGACTTATAAATAACTAGAATATGACTATACAGACTTACACACACACACAAGCAAAAAAACATTTTCCTACATCATCCGAATTTGTTCACACCTGCAATGCTGGCCAGTTAACAAATCCATCTCAATTTCCTAGAAATCTTCTTTCAAAAAATAAAAATACTTCTAGCAAGGTTTATGAGTTTTTAGTTTTTCACACTACTTGAATCCCTTCAGTTAGATTGCTTTTCTCCAAACAACTAACTAATATCACCTGCATTAAGAGTCGGCGTTTTCATTTTAAGGAGGAAAGATAAAATTTGTGACCTTTATTGGGGACAAAGACAGCCTGGCTCTAATGTCTCAAAGGAAGACATAAAATAGTAGGAAAGAGAGACACTGAATGAAGGCCAGGATGCCAAAGACAAATGATATCCATGCGGAAGTGCTTTGCCTTAGAATGAGGAGATTATTCTTCTTTTCTGTCATTCATTCTCCTAACTCCTTGTTTTGAGCGCCCATAATTCAGACTTGTACTACTCACTCTGAGGATCCTTCCATTTCTCTTGTTTCCAAGGGGACACACACAAGCTCTGAGTTCTGACCCGCTAAGCTTATGAACTTTTGGAATACAATCTGTTTGTGATTAATAGATTGGGGAGGAGGGGATGGGTAAATTTACACCTAACAGGTACAATCCACATTATCTGAGTGATGGACACACTTATAACTTTGACTCAAACTATACAAAAGCAATTCATGTAAGCAAACCGTTTGTACCCCCATAATATTCTGAAATAAGAAAAAAAAACAAAAAAATAGACTACCTGAATGACATATAATTAAATAATAGCTTTAGGACATTTATATGTTAATTATAAATTATTCTGATCCAGTCAGTAAAATAGAGTGTGTCCTAAGCAGCTCTTTATTAGTCTAATTGTATTTATTTTTACCCCCAAAAATGATAGATGCATCTATGTATACAATTAGTTTTCTAATTCAAAAAATCCTCTACCATTACTCTAAAGATGTGAGGCATCAGTTTACTTGAAATTTAGCTCTACTTCATATTTAAAATACATATGTTTTCATAATTTCTTATTCAAAAAAATCAGTTATATTTTTTTATCTTTCTAGTCCCTCACTGAATTTAAATTCTAATTGGTTATTGTATTGGGGATGAGGTTCAGATATCGCTGATAATTCATACTAGTGCATAGATACTATTTGTTTAGTCTGTTTTACATTCATGAAAACAGTTTTTAGTGATAACGGTTGTGTGATGATAAAGTAAAAATTTTGTGAGAACTACTTGCCCTTGTTTCCTTTATTCTTCAAGTATTATTGTCTATGAAAAACAGTATAAATTTTGTAGCTGTGCTTTTTATTTTAGTGTTTACTGGTTAAATTGTCAGTTATAATTTTATTAACCAGTTTCACTATGAAATGGACCATACAGGTGACCGAGGAAATATCTCAACATCTTCCAGACCAGCCTCTACATCAGGAAAATCAGAACTGTCCTCTAAACACAGCAGATCACTTAAACCTGATGGACGTATGAGCCGGACTACTGTTGACCAGAAAAAGCCAAGGGGTACAGAAGGTTTATCTGCTAGTGAATCCCTCATGTTAAAATCTGATGCTGCAAAGTTGAGGTCAGATTCCCATAGTAGGTCATTGTCCCCCAACCATAACACCTTGCAGACACTGAAATCTGAGGGGAGGATGTCTTCTAGCTTTAGAGCTGAATCCCCAGGACCAGGTTCTCGGTCATCATCTCCTAAGCCAAAGACTCTCCCCGCCAATAGGTCCAGCCCATCAGGCACTAGTTCTCCACGCTCCTCCTCACCACATGATAAAAATCTACCTCAAAAAAGCACTGCTCCTGTTAAGACAAAACTTGATCCTCCTCGGGAACGTTCCAAGTCAGACTCTTACACACTTGATCCAGACACCCTCCGCAAGAAGAAAATGCCCCTCACAGAACCGTTAAGGGGAAGGTCAACATCACCAAAACCAAAATCGGTACCAAAGGATTCTAAAGATTCTCCTGGATCTGAAAATAGAGCTCCATCTCCCCATGTGGTACAGGAAAACCTTCACAGTGAGGTGGTTGAAGTGTGCACCTCAAGTACTTTAAAAACAAATAGTCTAACAGACAGTACTTGTGATGAAAGTAGTGAATTTAAGAGTGTAGACGAAGGTTCAAATAAAGTTCATTTTAGCATAGGAAAAGCACCACTGAAAGATGAACAGGAAATGAGAGCATCCCCCAAAATAAGTCGAAAATGTGCTAATAGACACACTAGGCCCAAAAAAGAAAAATCTAGTTTTCTTTTCAAAGGAGATGGATCCAAATCTTTAGAGCCAGCCAAGCAAGCCATGTCTCCTTCTGTGGCTGAGTGCGCCAGAGCTGTCTTTGCCTCTTTCCTGTGGCATGAAGGCATAGTACACGATGCAATGGCTTGTTCTTCTTTCCTGAAATTTAATCCTGAACTTTCCAAAGAACATGCCCCTATAAGGAGTAGTTTAAATAGCCAACAGCCTACAGAGGAAAAAGAAACAAAGTTAAAAAATAGACACTCATTGGAAATATCATCTGCACTGAATATGTTTAATATTTCACCTCATGGACCAGATATATCTAAGATGGGTAGCATCAACAAAAATAAGGTGTTGTCCATGCTTAAGGAACCGCCTCTGCATGAAAAGTGTGAGGATGGGAAAACCGAAGCCACTTTTGAAATGTCTGTGCATCACACAATGAAGTCTAAATCTCCTCTTCCCTTAACTTTACAACATTTAGTGGCTTTTTGGGAAGACATCTCTTTGGCTACAATCAAAGCTGCTTCCCAGAATATGATTTTTCCAAGTCCTGGTTCCTGTGCTGTCCTTAAAAAGAAAGAGTGTGAGAAAGAGAATAAGAAAGCCAAAAAGGAAAAAAAGAAAAAAGAAAAGGCAGAAGTTAGGCCCAGGGGTAATTTGTTTGGAGAGATGGCCCAGCTGGCAGTAGGAGGACCAGAGAAAGACACCATCTGTGAGCTCTGTGGAGAGTCACATCCTTACCCGGTGACCTATCACATGAGACAAGCTCACCCAGGTAAACGATAACTGTTGAACATATATATAAGTACTTCTTTCCTTAATGAGCTAGGTCACGTCTAACTTGAGCTGTTCTGTGAATTATGTAAGGTGTAGAGAAAAGTATTTCCTAGAATTTATAGTATCTTATAATGTCATTTTTAAAGTACATTATCAATATAGGTTTTGTGAATACCAAGTAAAGAAATTCTAATAGTGTGATGGTTAGGCAATTTTCTACTATTTCATTTTAATGTAGCACATTTTGAAATATTGTTTATTTTTTAAAATATGTGTTACCCAAAGGGTGCCATTAAGGTCTCTTATACAATGGAAATAATGGCATGTCTACATACACAGGGCAGATGCTAATGTTAAGTCTCCTATGATTTTAGTGTTTTCTTGTTCAAAATTGCAAATTAAATTAGACTATACTGATTTCTTTGGGCATTTTTCTATGGAAAAGATATCAGTTGTTTTATCAGAAGACTGCATTTTAGGTAAATGTAAGGGATTTCTATAACATTGACTAATATTCCAAAATTAACCTGATGTAAACATGATTGTTTTTCTTTTTCTACATATCATAGCTGAAATGTTTAATAAATATGTGATTCCTGGAAATATGTT